CTTGCGAGCATCACGTTTCTCTTCCTCCGTGTCGCTATGTCATTTCATGTGTAATCAAGTTAGCAGTTCTTCTCAAACTCTAGCTAAGCATGGTGTGTCGACTGCTTTACATGCTGAAACTCTAGCTCTGTATCAAGCAGTCGAGTGGGCAGACAGGCTTGGGGGTGGCCGGGTAATTTTTGAGGCAGACTGTCAAGTCCTGCAGCAAGCCACCTCCTAGAACCTACGATTTTGCACCCGTGGGTGTGCTTTTCAGTGACAACAGATTCAAACTCAGAACGCTGTTCATTGAGAGCAAAGTGGTGTGTGCACCAAGAGCTTGTAATAAACCAGCGTATGGCCCCGCTAGGGTTCCCACCCCCGCCACCACCGTCGCCCTCGCCTGCTCCCGCCGCCGCCGGGCGCGCGCCTCCAGGCCCGCCCCGCTCCCCCCTCCCCCTCTCCTCCCCCCCGACGCGCCCGTGGGAGCCGGGCGCAACCTTGGCTGCCGCGGCCTTCGGCCCCGCCTACCTCCCTTCTCCCTCGCTGCCGCCGGTGAGCTCCGTCGGGCAAAGCCCGATGGGCGCGGCGGCGACGGGGCCCTTCTCCCTCTGCTCGTGGGACGCTGGCGCGGGACAGCCTCCTCGAGCGGCGGCGATGGACATCGCTGGGTTCAGCGACACGACAGCGGACTCGCGGGGCAGCCGACTAGTGGCGGCGCGCCGACAATCTGGATCTCGCGCACGGCGGGGCGGCTGCGGTGCTCCCGTCTCGGGAGGTGGCGCGCGGTCGGCCTCCTGCTGGATCCGGTCGGATCTGGCAGTGGGGGTCGGCCGACGGTGCGTGGCCGCGGTGGTGCGTGCCCGACGGCTCCGGCGCTAGGAGCTCGCCGGGCGACGCGGGTAGGGCAATGGTCGGGCGTGGTCGTTGCTCCGGCCGTGGGCGGCGACGTGTGGAGGTTTGGCGGGGGTGGACTCCCGGTGTCGTGGCGGCTTCATGGTGGCTTGGAGGATCTGCCTGCGGTAGCGGCCGGCTTCTCCCGCGTCGGTTTGTCTGCGATCGGACCGTTTCGGCCTTCACCCCATCTCCTCAGCGCCCGGTCGCTACTCCCTTCGAAGGGTTGGCCCTTTCCCAGCTGCAGTCCATCGCTCGTCTCGCGCCCGGTGCAGCAGGACCGAGCTCGTCTCACACACAGTGCCGTAGGACCGAGCTTGTGTCGCACGCGGTGCAACAGGATTGACCTCGTCCCCCCACGGTGCTGCAGGACCGAACTCGTCTCGCGCTCCGGGCTGCAGGTTGGGCCAATGGATGCCAGTGCTGGCCGGCCTATTGGGTCTCGACGCTCGGGGTGGACCAGGGGTGCAAAGGCGGGTCCTTTTCCGCTCGTCTCTTTGGTTGGGGTAGTGGCGGGTCTCGGGTGCGGTGGTGTCAAGGTCTTGGATGTCGGGGCGGCGGCCCTGGTGGTGGTAGCACGACGCTCTTGGGCAGAGCCCATGTCTTGGCACTGCCCGGTGGCCATGGCCGTGTGGGCGGCGTGGTAGCCGGGTTGTAGCGTTCGGTGGCGGTGAGTGTTGGCCGGGGTGAAAACCTGCTCTATCTTCGGACGGACTGGCAACGGCGAAGCTCGTTCCCTTCTTGAAGGCGTCGTCGCGGCTCTCACCACCCGTCGTCCGGCTCCATGGGAAACTCTAATCTTCAGATCGAGCAGTGGAGGCGCTCTAGTGTCGTATCCTTCCTGAAGGCGCTACCTTGGAATCCACGGTTCGTTGTATGCGGCTTCATCTCTTGGTGGTAGTGTGTTAGGGGTGGTGTTGCTGCGCTCGGCGCTTATGTATCCTGCCTTGGGTGTGTGTGGTGTTGGCGTGCGTTTGTTCCGGTTGATGTTGATCTATGCTTTATATATAAAGCGAGGCCAAAGCCTTTTTGGGTAAACCAGCGCATGTGCTGGCGCTATATTTTTTGATAAAGGATGGATTTTATTGACACAAAATAAAGGATCGAGAGGATGTTCCGATTGATGTTGATCTATGCTTTATATATAAAGCGAGGCAAAAGCCTTTTTAGGTAAACCAGCGCATGTGCTGGGGCTATATTTTTCGATAAAGGGTGGATTTTATTGACACAAAATAAAGGATCAAGAGAATACAAACACAATGAGCACACATACGGCCTCTACATAACTAGAATGCATACAATCAACACCAACACACTTAAGGAAATATGCCCTAGAGGCAATAACAAAGTTGTTATTTATATTTCCTAATATCATGATAAATGTTTATTATTCATGCTAGAATTGTATTAACTGGAAACTTAGTACGTGTGTGAATACATAGACAAACAGAGTGTCACTAGTATGCCTTTACTAGACTAGCTCGTTAAATCAATGATGGTTATGTTTCCTAACCATAGACATGAGTTGTCACATGATTAACGGGATCACATCATTAGAGAATGATGTGATTGACTTGACCCATCCGTTATCTTAGCACGATGATCATTTAGTTTGTTGCTATTGCTTTCTCCATAACTTATACATGTTCCTATGACTATGAGATCATGCAACTCCCGAATACTGGAGGAACATTTTGTGTGCTACCAAACGTCACAACATAACTGGGTGATTATAAAGGTGCTCTACAGGTGTCTCCGATGGTGTTTGTTGAGTTGGCATAGATCGAGATTAGAATTTGTCACTCCGATTGTCGAAGATGTATCTCTGGGCCCTCTCGGTAATGTACATCACTATAAGCCGTGCAAGCAATGTAGCTAATGAGTTAGTTACGGGATGCAGCATTACAGAACGAATAAAGAGACTTGCCGGTAACGAGATTGAACTAGGTATTGAGATACCGACGATCGGATCTCGGGCAAGTAACATACCAATGATGAAGGAAACAACGTATATCGTTATGCGGTTTGACCGATAAATATCTTAGTTGAATATGTGGGAGCCAATATGAACATCCAGGTTCCGCTATTGGTTATTAACCAGAGACGTGTCTCGGTCATGTCTACATAGTTCTCGAACCCGTAGGGTCCGCACGCTTAACGTTCGGTGACGATAGGTATTATAAATTTATATATGTTGATGTACCGAAGGTTGTTCGGAGTCCTGGATATGATCACGGACATGACGAGGAGTCTTGAAATGGTCGAGACATAAATATCGATATATTGGATGACTATGTTTGGACATCGGAATGGTTCCGGGTATGTGACGCCCGGGTAATTAAGCTACAGTAATCCCATGTTAACGATGCCACGTCACCTCGGTTATTGTTGCTAATCTCACTTTGATTCTCAGCCAGTCCAAATTTCAAATTCGGATTAAAGTCTAAAATTCAAATTTCTCAAACATGAAAACTAAAATGTTCAAAGAGTGTCAAATATTCCTTAATCAATTATGGTGGTGACCGAACATTATTGTGAGGTGTTTAAGTGCCCTAAACTAATTAAAACTATGGCTTAAACAATTAAATTAAATGCCCTTTATTTTATAAGAATCGCAAACTATCTCAAAAGTCTCATAATCTTTTTTTTGTGGCAGTGCACAATAATTCTGTGAAATTGTTTTGGCCAGTGGCATATTTTTGCAAAGTCAATTGTGATTAAAGAAAAAGGCAAAAGCTGCTGGAAAATAAAACTTAGTAAAAAAGGAAAAAGAAAATTGAAACCCCGCTCCCCCTGGGCCTCGGCCCAACTGGCCACCCAGCCAGCCAGCCCAACCGACCCACCTGGCTGCGCCCGCCTCCCCTGTTCGGGCGACCGGGTCGCTACAGGGGCGGGTTGCCTCGGACCACCTCTCCGGCGCCGACGCCGGGAGGGGATAAGGCGCCCCCGTGCCTCCTTGGTCTCCCCACCTCCCCACTCACCTGGCCCCTCTCGCCCAGATCCACCTCTTCCCCCCTCTGCCGATCTGGAGGAAGGGCCGGCACGCCCGTCGCCGATGACCTCGCTTCCCGCGGCCACCGGTCGGCCCTCACCTCGCCGGCGAGACCCCAGTCCACCCTGACCTGCTCGTCCAATCCGCCGAGTCGCGTGAGTCGGTTGCCCCCGTCCGCTCTTCCTCGAAGACATCGTCGTGACCGTGACACCGAGGCCACCGTGCTCGTCCCCGACGTTGTCGCCGTCCTCAACCGCCTCTCCGTCTCCTCCCTGAGCCTTCTACGCCGAGCCACGAGGACCCGGACGCCCCCATGACACGGCCCCAAACTCGACTTCTTCCTCGGGCCGCCGCCCGTCGTCTCCGTCTCCCGCCGCCCCGACTCTCCCTCGGGCCTTCCCAGCAACGGCGGTGAGCACCGCGTGTTTCCCCTCCTCCTGCCCCTTTGATTCTGACGCCGTAGTCAGGGGCCCTGGCCGTAGTACCAGCCCACGTCTGCCTATGGCCGCCGCGCCGGAGAGCTCAAGCTCACCGCGCCCCGTGCACCCCCACTCGCGCGCGCCCGCCCCCGCTGCCCGCAAGCGCGTTGCGCTGCTCTACTGAAGCTACATAACTGTTGTGCTGTTGATGGTTACTGTAGATGCTACTAGCTAGCTTTTCTAAAT